AGAGAGAGAGAGAGAGAGAGAGAGAGAGAGAGAGAGAGAGAGGCTATACCTGATTTTTTAAAAATGGTGCTTTGAAACAGAAAATCTGGGTTCAATTCCTGCTGTGCCTATTAATTGTATGACTTTGGCAAGTCATTTAATGTCTTGTATCCTCTGTTCCATTCCTTATGAGATGGATATAATCAAAATCTATCTTTCAGGTTGGTAGTGACGGTAAAATATGGTAATGTCTCTACGAGTGCTTTCTGAACCACACAAGGATGAGCCCTGTTATCCTGTGGCCCACATGGCCAGAGCCGACCATTATATCCTCCTGGCACTCTTATCTCTGGGTCCAAGCCTTACTGTGAACACTTGAGATTCTCTACCCAAGGGCTTTGCTCTGGTCCTGGGAACATGCACAGCAGCATTGTGGGAAGCCTGAGTGCCAGAGAGTCAATGCCCCCAGGAGCAGCTCTGAAGCAACGGTGGACAGAAATTGGTGGACAAAACCTGGCTTCCTAGCCCCTGGTTGGGATAACTCTGAGGTAATCTCTGTTCTGTCTCCTAGGGTTCCCCAGCAGGATTATGTGCCCATTGCCCCCTGTGACAGTTGACTTGATAATATACCCTTTATTAGCTTCCCTCCTTTTCCTATTTTGTTCCCTTACTCTCTGATGTTTCCCGAGATTACTTCCCAAATAAGTGGCAGAACTAGAGCTTGGTCTCAGCTTATCTGCTTTCAAAGTCTATGCCTTCAACCACTAAGTTCTAATACCTCTGATACTGCTTCAGATACTGTTCCAGATAAGAACCCGGATGAGGGTTGTGTCATACGTGTAACTGGGTTTTCCTGCTTCATGGATCTGAGTGCCATTCGTCACATTCTTTTAGATTTTCACGTTGAGCGTAAGAGCGCTCAAGAGCCCCAGTTGCCAGGTTAACGGGCAGTCCAACAGCCCCGCTTCCAGGTTCCTTTCTATGAATCGTTGGCATACTCCGCCCCCCACCAAACACCGTGGACTTCTAAGGTCTGAAGAGGGCCTTTGTCTGACTTTTAAGTGATCCATCAGCTGTTGCCATTCTCCCCACCCCCATCCCCACCACGCACAGCCTGTGAGAGAGAAAACAAATCCTCCCCCATCAGCAGACGATGACAGTCCCCTGTGAAGTGGTGTCTCCTGCTCAACACCTGGCGTCTCAGTTCCTGGGGGGGGGGGGGGGGGTGGGGGGGGTGGGGGGGGCGGGGGGAGGGCGGGGGTGGGAATCCCATCCCTCAGCTCAGGACCTTGATGCAGGCGCGCCCCTTCCCCAGCCCGTGTGCTCCACGCCTGTGCCTTGGATCACAAGCCCCACGTCCTGCTGGCAGGCCAGGAGGCCTCCAGCTTCAGCAGGATCTATATGTTTAACGCATTCCTTCCGCATTCACGCGGGGGCCTGTGACCTGAGCTCCCCTCCCTCGTTGAGACCCCTGTTACCCTAGAGTTAATTTCAGAACCATCCTAGTCCACCCCGATAGGCCCTTCTCTTCACGTATCTGCAAACCGGGTTGATTAAACAGTCTGCTGCCTCCCTGACGACTCCGGACTCACTCAAACTGACCCAGTGTCCCCAGTGTTGAATTTTATGTAACAAGGATCTCAGACTTGACTGAGACACAAAAGCTTGGGTTCCATCCTAATCCCAGGACAATGCCTGCTTTCTTGCTCTGTGTTTGTTTGCCTAAAATGGCCACTCATGTGACTACCCCAGGGCAAAAGAAGGCTCACCTCTCAGGGACAAATTATTTGAAAACTATTCATCCGTGCACACCCATGTTTTAAAATCCCGGACAAAATTTTTTGACCAGCTTCTGTTTTAAGGAGATACTATTTTTTTCAGGAGCTCTGATTCCAAAGGAAAAACCGGATAAAGTTGAAGAAAGGTCCCCCGCCCCCCTCCCCCCCTTTTTTGTGCCTGGAAGAGTACTCACTTATAGTGTTCTTTTCTTGTAGGGGAGCTGGTGCCAGAAAGAAGTTGAAAATGTCACCCTCTCTGCCTTGTAGAATCGGGACAAACATCATCCTGGAAAGAAGTGAGAAAAAGGAAGGGAGGATGACACAGACTGCATCAGAAAAACTCAAAACTTGCCTGTGAGGAGATTTCACTGAAGAGCCACAGCTGAGATGGCTGGCTACTGTTTGCATCCTAACCCCCTGTGGCTTAAACCCCACAGTCCAGCACAGGATTCATGTTTATTTTTATTGTTTTTGAATGTTTATTTATATTTGAGAGAGACACACAGAGTGTGAGCGGGGAGGGCAGAGAGAGAGGGACACACAACATCCGAAGCAGGCTCCAGGCTCTGAGCTGTCAGCACAGAGCCCGACGTGGGGCTCGAACCCACAGACTGCAAGATCGTGACCTGAGCTGAAGTCAAGACGCATAACCGACTGAGCCAGCCAGGCGTCCCCAGGATTCATTTTAACCTTTTTAATTTCTCTATTTGTTTAATGTATAGAACTCTTGTTTCCCCAGGTGGATTGAAAGCTCCTCAGAGCCCAGCACAGAGTGAACACAGCTGGCTTTTGCTCATGTTCAGGAATTACAACATTATTTTCAGGTAACCTTATGTTACTGGTCTCATTCTCTTACAAAGTGGGGGAAAGGAAGAGGGGCCAGGGTGGAATAAACAACATACTTACAACGGTACCATGAATGAAATGTCATTGTCTTCAAAACTTCCTAATAAGGACAACTGCACTTATTTTCCTAAAGACGTGTTTTCCTCACTCTGTGTTCCTTTGGCACACTTGTTTCTTTTCTTGCTGCTTTTTTACATTATTTGCAAATAGGCATGCAAGGAGGCATGTTTTAGAAATTCGTGGCATCTCAAAGCCCAATTTTTTGAACACATGTAATGTGTACCAACCCAGTGCAGAGTGCCGGTTGCTGACCCAATGGCTGTCTGAGACTCCTAGTCACAAGTCTCCCTCGAGGTGAGGGGCGGCCACACCGCTTGGTTTTAGCCCACGAGCTGTAAGCAGAAGTCTTCTAGCTGAGCCTGGTGAAACAGCCTCTGCTTTTCTCAGTCAAAAGGGGCAGATTTAATTGTAAGCACCCTTCACCTTGCCCTTTCTGTCTCAGCACAGGTGAGATTGCCTTGGTGCATCTGGGAGGAGCTTGTTCTCTACAAGCTGCAGCTCCAGGAAGGGATAACCTGCAGCCGAGGCAGGATTTCCTGAGATCCCATCACCTCCCTGCTGTCCTAGGAATCTATGTTGGGAATGTGAGTGATTAGAGCCCTGCTGAAGTTGTTTTTTGGATGATTTTTAAATTATATCTTCCCAGGAGAGGCATGGACGTTATTAAATTTTTAAACAGTACGTTAGCTGTTTAAGTAACACATGCTTATAAAAATATTGAAACTGTCGGGGCGCCTGAGTGGTTCAGTCGGTTAAGCATCCGACTTTGGCTCAGGTCACAATCTCGCGGTGAGTTTGAGCCCAACGCCAGGCTCTGTGCTGACAGCGCGGAGCCAGGAGCCTACTTTGGATTCTGTGTCTCCTTCTTTCTCTCTGCTCCTCCCCTCTTCACACTCTGTCTCTCTCACTCTCTCTCTAAAATAATGAATTTTTTAAAAAAATATTTAAACTGTTCAAAAGGTATTAAGTTAAAGTCTTCTTCCCCTAGAGGACTCATCATTGACATTTCTTGTGTGTTCTTCCAAAAACTTTCGGTTATGTGCATGTATGTTTATTTACACAAAGAGATCACAGTACGTGATATTCTGCTCTTGCTTTTTAAACCTATCTTTTTCAGCATATGTACATATGCCATATTCTTAAAATTTTTTAAAAGTTTTATTTGTTTTATTTTTTATTTGAGAGAGAGAGAGAGAGAGAGAGAGCACACATGTGTGAGCAGGGAAGAGGGGCAGAGGAAGGGAGAAAGAATCCTCAGCAGGCTCCGTGCTCAGTGTGGAGCGCAATGCAGGGATCGATCCCACGACTCTGGGATCATGACATGAGCCAAAATCAAGAGTTGGGTGCTCGACCGACTGAGCCACCCAGGTGCCCCACATGTGCCATATTTTTAATTGGCACATGGTGTAAAACACTACATGGATAAATCAGGAACATTAGAGAAAAGCAAATTAAAATGACAGCAGGATACCACATTGTACACCTATTAGAATGATCCAGATAAATTAAAAAACAAACCATAAAAAGCTGACAATACCAAGTGCTGACAAGGATGCAGAGCAACTGAAACTCTCATAAACCAGTGAGAAAGCAAAATGTTACTGCCAGTTTGGAAAACAGTTGGCAGTCTCTTATAAAGGTGAGTGTGTACTTCATATACAACAAAAATTCCATGCCCAGACATTTACTCAAATGAAATGAAAACATGTTCTTTTTTGGAAATGTTTATTTATTTATTTTGAGAGAGAGAGAGAGAGACAGAGAGAGAGAGAATCCCAAGCAGGCTCCGTGCTGTCAGCTCAGAGCCCAATGCGAGGCTCCATTCCACGAACCGTGAGATCATGACCTGAACTAAAATCCAGAGTTGGACGCTTACCTGACTGAGCCACCCCAGTGCTCCAAGACATATATTCTCACGAAAACCTCTACATGCATATTTATAATGGCTTCATTCATAATTGCCCGAAACTTGAAACAGTGCAAAATTCTTCAGGTGGATAAACCAGCCGTGGTACATCCACACAATGGAGCAGGCCCAGGATTAGGGTGAGGCAAATGAGACACTCAGCTCAGGCACAACATTTAAGGACACCAAAGCACTCAGTAACCAAGATAAATAATATTAATGCAATATTTTTTAAAGATCAAAACTAATGCAAAAAAATACAAGATGAACAAAACATGAAAATTTAATGCAGAAACTGACCCTGCACTGCTACCACCATGAGAGTTAAGCAAGTTGGGGTGCACGTGCAAGGTGGTAAAAATGATCCAATTTGCATTTTCTTCGGACAATCATGACCATTGTTCCCAAATGAAGGAAATTGGCAAGTTCTTTCCATCATTTATAATTGTACATCTACAGTACTGCAGTGTAAATGGGAAAGTTTTATTTTATTACAAATAAATGTGTGATTTTAAAAATAGTAAGAACTGGGGCGCCTGGGTGGCTCAGTCGGTTAAGCGGCCAACTTCGGCTCAGGTCATGATCTCGCGGTCCGGGAGTTCGAGCCCCGCGTTGGGCTCTGTGCTGACAGCTCAGAGCCTGGAGCCTGTTTCGGATTCTGTGTCTCCCTCTCTCTGACCCTCCCCCGTTCATGCTCTGTCTCTCTCTGTCTCAAAAATAAATAAACGTAAAAAAAAAATTTTAAAATAGTAAGAACTGAAGGGAGGTATACAAATTTTATTTAATAAATATTTACTTAAAAATAAAATAAATATTTATTTTTGATTTATATTTATTTCTGAAATATATAAATAGTGTATAAATAATATATTTTACTTTTCAGGAATAAAACTTGGTCACTTCAAATGTTTTATGAAAAAAAATTTTAATCAGGAAAATAAACTTAGGAGGCTTTTACACTTTATTTACTTAAGACAATGATAAATAATTCACTGTGTTTCATATCTTTATATCAAACCTATTTTTTAAACTACTTTTTGTTTTACTAACTTGTCTAGAAAGCTAGTATGTAATTTTCTATTTGTAATTGTTGATTTATACATATATATGTATATATATACATATATGTATACACACACATATATAGAGTGGTTTTTAATTAAAATTAAAGTTTTAATTAAAGTAAATTTTAAATTGTGGTAAAATACACATAAAAAATTACCATCTTAATCATTTTTAAGTGTATAGTTGAATAGTGTTATGTATATTCACATTGTTGTACAACCACCAGAACTTTTTAATCTTGCAAAATTGAAAGTCTCTGCCTATTGAACAATAACATCCCTTTCCCCCATCCCTGGCCCTGGTAACCACTGTTCTACTTTCTGTCCTTAGGAATTTGACTGTCCTTGGTACCACATTTAAGTGGAATCATACAGTATTTGTCCTTTTGACTGGCTTATTCAGTTAGCATAATGATTCATCCATGTTGCACTGTGTGTCAGAAGTTCCTTCCTTTTTAAGGCTGAATATATACTATTGCAAATGTACATCATATTTTTTTAGTGTTTATTTATTTTGAGAGAGAGACAGAGCATGAGCAGGGGAGGGGTAGAGAGAGGGAGACACAGGATCTGAAGCAGGCTCCAGGCTGTGAGCTATCAGCACAAAGCCTGATGCGGGGCTCGAACCCATGAACCATGAAATCATGACCTGAGCCAAAGTCAGACGCTTAACTGACTGAGCCACCCAGGTGCCCCATGTATACCACAGTTTAATTATCCATCAATCTGTCAATGGATGCTTGGGTTGCTTCCACCTTTTGGCCGTTGTAAATAATACTGCTATGAATGTGGTTATACAATACCTTTTTCAGACCCTGCTTTCAATTCTTTGGCCTATATGTCTGGAAGTTGAATAACTGGGCTATACAGTAATACCATTTTTGAGTTTTTGAGGAACTGCCATGCTGCTTTCTATGGCAGCTGCACCATTTTGCATTTCCAAGAACCATTCACAGGGATTTAAAAAAAATTTTGATAAAACTTTTACATACATATACTTGTTAAATATTATAATTTATATGAATTAAGCTAATTCCAATTCACCATATATTATATTTACTTGAACTGCATATGGATTAAAAATAAATATGTTTTATACTAAAATTTATTTTTCAGAAATATGGCATCTAAAAACTGTATGTGATGATAAAATGTTCAGGAAAAGGAGAAAGAATGCATATAGAAATGGATCAAAATTATATGGGGCAGTTACAAGTTTGGCTAGACAGCAAAGCACTTGTACTTCAACCAATGAAGGGGAGCCTGGGTGGCTCAGTCGGTTGAGCATCCGACTTCGGCTCAGGTCATGATCTCGCGGTCCGTGGGTTCAAGCCCCGCATCGGGCTCTGGGCTGACAGCTCAGAGCCTGGAGCCTGTTTCAGATTCTGTGTCTCCCTCTTTCTCTGACCC